ATAGCATATAGCAACAACAGAGAGAAGACTGGGAATACCAGCACACTGAAATGTGTTTATGTGAAATATGTACCAAAAAGCCGTTCTTTGAGCAGAACAAGGGTGTACCTGCATGGATTAAAATCAGAAATGTTTTGGGTTAAAGTTGTATCTTTTCTCCATACTTAATCATTCTGTCTACTAAGAAAATAATTAGAGAAGTAGAATTTTATGAAGAAAAATGGCACATCAGGACTAGAGACTCGTCAATAAGCTACATTTGCGAATGGCACAACCTTGCCTGCAGAAAGTGAAGTACTACTTAAGAATATCAAAGACTGCAGCCTTTAATATTGATTATATTCGACATCAAGAAAATGAAATTCTTCCCACTGGACCAACAGGCAATATCATACTAGATGGAGAAAAGATTGAAACTGTCAATGATTTCATTTTACTTGGATCCAAAAGCATTATCTATGGTGACAATATATTGTATGGAGCCAACCTGCTGCATGGGACCTCGCCAAAGTGCTAAAGAACAAGGATATCAGTTTAAAGACCAAGATAGACCTGACCCAAGCTCTATAGTTTTATCTACTGCTTCCTGCATATTGGGACAATGAATAAGGAAGACTGAAGGAAAACAGATGCTTTTGATTTGTGGTGTTGGCAAACAGTTCTGAATATACCATGAACATAGTGCCAAAAGAAAAAACAAGTCTGTCTTGAAAGGAGTACAACCAGAATGCTGCTTAGAAGCAAGGATAATGAAATTTTGTCTCACATACTTGGTTGAGGACATGCTGTCATGTGACACCAGTCCTTAGAAAAATATATTATTCTTGGAAAATTTAACAGGACAGCAAACAACAAATGCTGGTGAGGTTGTGGAGAAACTGGAACCCTTATTCACTGTTGGTGGGAGTGTAAAATGGTGCAACCACTGTGGAAGGCAGTGTGGTGCTTTTTCAAAAAGTTGCAAATAGAGATACCATTCGACCCAGCAATTCCACTACTGGGAATATAGCCCAAAGAGACCATAACTGCCACCCAAGCATATACACACACACCAATGTTTATTGCGGCACTGTTCACAATAACAAGGAGTTGGAAACAACCTAAGTGCCCATCAACAAACAAATGGACAGAGAAGCTGTGGTATATTCATGCAATGGAATACTACACTGCACTGAAAAACAAGGAACTCATGAAATATTATTAAAAATGGGTGACTCTAGAAGATATTATGCTGAGTGAAATATCTCAGTCGCAAAAGGACAAATATTGCATAGTGCCACTGTTGTAAAAGCAGACTGACAGAGGGGTTGAGGGGAGACTGAGAAAGATGAGATAAATAATGCATACTGCACTAAAACACATGAGGGAGAAAACTGCTTAAAAGGGATGTGTGATTAGGTATTATTGTCATGACAGAAGTCCAGAATGAAGGCTGCATAGTGGAGTGGACCTGGGGGGAAGGATTGTACAACAATAAAATAATTTTTCTTTTACTTTTCAAAGAGAAGTGTGTACTTGGCGGGGCAGGGAGAAATGCAACAATGAATAAATGGAAATCCAAAGTATCTGTAAGTTTTCATTAAAATTAGTAAAAAAAAGAAATATAAAATATAACACGTTGTGAAACAGTGGTTTGTATATAGCCACAGCCTCCGAATTCCCACAAAATGACTGGTTGGTACACACAGAGATGTAATAAAGTACCTGTGGCCTACTACAGGGATGGGTCAGGTTAGCCATCCTTAGAGGTGTGACAGAGGCAATCCCACAGGAACTACTATCAAGAAAAGTATGGAGTGGAGTACATATTTTGGACCTGGGATCTCTGCTTTCCAAATTACATGTTCCATTTTATTAATTTGTAGTGGCAGAACACTATGGCATAAGTATGAGGCCTTTATTTTCCTTACATGTTTGCACTCCCTTTTCTGTTGTCTATAATGAATATCCCATGAATGAACATGATGTGAACTCACGAATAAAAGCCAAATGTTGAGCTAGATGAAAGGAATTAAAAATAGAGTCTAGGTTCCTGTGGCTTCTAACTAATAGACTGGTGGTTTGAATGGGTCAGTCAGTCAATGGAAAAAAGATGGGCAGTGTTTTCCCAGAAAGATTTATAGTTGTGGAAATCTAATGGAAGTTGACAACAAATCAGAATCAATTCAACAGCCTTATGATCAGCTGCTGAGATCTTTTTGTTTGTTTAAGATCTGGCAGGCACTGTACTACACTAATTTAGCCCTGAACCGTGCAGTACAGTTTCTTTTCCATGAAATGGAAATTATGTTTATCTTAAGCCACTTATTGCCACTAATGCAATTCTTACTCATATAGTGAACTCCTTCAGGCCTTTTGTTCATAGGGCTGCTATGTCGTCCTTGACTAAGGCAATCAAGAACAACAACAACAATATGAACTCAGAGTAGAACTGCCCCAAAGGGTTTCTGAGGTTGTAAATCATTACAGGTGTTAATAAACTGCTAAATCTTCCTCCCATGGAGTATCTGTTGAGTTTGAATGGCCAATCTTTCACAGAGCAGTCCAACACTTAACCCCCACTATATCACCAGAACGATATTTTTTTTAAAGCCTTCATTATTTGGGAAAATGTAATTTCATATTATTGGCACCTAAACCAACGAAGTGTAACTGAGATTGTACTTTCATGAACTAAGAAGTATGTATAAAATCCATGTAAAACCTGTTATTGATTAAAAAGTATCCCTCCTAAAATATGTTTTAAAGAGCAAAGATTACGTTTAAAGACTAACGTACACTAGATCCAAACCACGATCTTTTCAATTGCTCTCTATGCACCTGGAAGTTACACAATGAATAAGGATGAAAGAAGAACTGACAACTTTGATGAACTTTTGAAGGCTTTGAAGAACTGGTAATTGTGGTGTTGGCAATACCGGGGACTGCCAAGAATGAACAAATTTTGAAGGAAGTGAAACCAGACTGTTCCTTAGAGGCAAGGATGGTAAACTGTTTCAAGGACTTTGGGCTTATTTTCAGGAGGATTGAGAGAGGCATCATACCAGAAAAGGTGAAAGAGAGGCAGAGCCTCTACAATATGGACTTAAACTATAATTGCCAGAATGCACTTCAGAATGACAGAGATTATGAGGAGGATGAGGAAGGCAAGGTTTAGATCTGTTGTTCAAAGAGTTACTAATGAATTATAAATAATTCAATGGCACTCAAGGACAACAAAACCAAAATATGTGTGAACTTTGTTGAGCCTGAGTATCAGCGACTTGTAGTTATGTATTCATCTTTCATGATGTGAGATGTAATACCCTTACGCAGGCCACAGCCATGATCCAATATAAATCAAGAGTATCTGAGTTGTGGTCTGTATGGTGAGAGATCAAGAGAGAAACAATGCAGAGGAAGGAACTGACCACCAGAAAGAAGAGATGAGACTCCTTTAGACCTGTGGTCACTATGGGAAGAACATCACAGATTCAGATCAAGACTAATGCCAAGACACATGAAAATTTCTAAGAAATGCTGGCGATCTCTCTCCACCTGTAGTCTTCAAGTTAATCACTTTAATCACATTAACTCAAGATGTTATTAGGTGCTGCTGTATCGAGTATGACTAATAGTAACTAGATGAACAAAAGATCTGAACATAACCCTGTCCTGTGCCATCCTTATACTTCCTAACACACAAGAGCCCACTGCAGCAGTCACTGTGTCAATCCACTTGGTCGAGGGTCTTCCTCTCTTTTCTCAACCTCCCACTCTTCCTAGCATCATCTCCATCTCCAAGAAAAAATATCTAACCTTTCCTTTTATATCTTATTTTTTAAATTTGTTTTTGTCTAAGTTCAGGCCTTTAAGACTTCATGATCCTGTGAAAGCTTCTGTCATTAGCATCTTCTGAATTAATTCTCCACAGTTTTTCTAGAAAGGTGCTGAAACTTTATTGCTAATTTCACACACTTTTATCATTTTAAAACACAAAAAGCACTTTTCACTTCCTGTATAAAAAAAAAAATCCCACCAAACTTGTCAGTCAGTTCAGAAGAATTGTCATTGCCCCAAGCCACACTGTATTTTAGAAATACTGAACTTTTGGGGAGCTCTGGTGGCCTAGTGGCAAGGAGCTGCAACTACAATCCCAGAGGCACACGGTTCAAATCCACCAGATGTTCTGCCGGGAAAAGGAGGGACAATCTCCTCCTGTACCAGTCAGATCTGATTTGATGGTACACTCACACAAAAATTAAAAAAAAAGAAAAAGAAAAAGAAATACTGAACTTTTAAAAATGTTATTTTTTTGTGTGTGTGTACCATCAAATCAGATCTGACTGGAATAGGAGGAGATGGCCACTCTTTCTCCAGCAGAGCATCTGGTGGATTCGAACCACATACCTCTGGGATTACAGTGCAGCTTCTTGCCACTAGGCCACCAGAGCTCCCAGAAATACTGAACTTTTGAATTTTTATTACATATAAGTAATCCTTCTCTATGTGAAATATGTTTCTCTACCAATTTCCAAAACTTAATTCAATAAAATATTTCTCTCAATGAAAATTAATTATGATATATTTGAATTTCAGAAACTGTCAAGTAGAACACAATTTTATCATTCTTTCTATAGGAATATGAAACTCTTAGGTTTTTACTCAACTTATAATACAAATAGTAAATAAAAAGCACTCAATTAATGATGAATGAATGCAGATTATCTCCAAACTCCTATCAGTTATCGAGACAGTGATATTCTTATTAATTTTAATGAATCTCTTCAGAGTACAAATTATGGGAACATAATCTTGAAAGGCAGAGAAAAGATAAATATCAATTAGCTCCATATAGAATGTCATATATGGTATTGCTGACATCTAAGTATTTGTTGTGAGAACCTTTTTTGTGTATAACATTTATACTGTGGTTTTAATATTCAAAGGATTTTTTTTAAAAAACCAAGGAGGAATAAAAGATTTTTGAAAAATGTCAGCTGATAAATTATACTACTTACTCTGTAGTTTTGTAAACGTCAGAATATAGCCCTGCTTTCTGATATTTCTTCTTTGGGGGACGAGGGGTCTTCTTTTCCCTTGGGATGAGAGAGAGTACAGGCTGCAAAGTATTTTCAGGTTCAGGAGGCTTTTCTGGGGTTTCGGGAGGACTGGGAGTCTCAATTGCTGCTTCATTAAAGCTAGAAAGAAAAGTTTAAAGATAATTTTATTGTGAAAATGTTTTTCCCTGTACATGGTTTCTATCTTAAAAACAATCATGGCTATTTTAAAAGGTATCTGGGGTTTTCCTCAGGTGGCCAAATTGGACTAACTGGTACTTGAGTTGAACTTTTCCTGTAAACTATTGAAAATATGGTCAATTACTAGAAAACTTGACTTAATTTATAAAACTATTATGAGACACTGGCCACAAGTTTGCATAAGACTGATATTTCTAAAAAAATAAAAATAAGGTTAAGTATTAAAATCAGTAACTTTCAGTATAGGGGTATTTTCTGTATTGTGATATAAGCTGGCGAATCTAAGGAGAGAACAGCCAAGCTAATGAGTTTTGTTTTTTAAATAAACTAAAAAGTATAAAGGGAGCTCTAGTGGCATAGCCTCTAAGAAGGTGTGCTGCTAAAGCAAAGACGCTTGTGAGTAGTTCGAATCTACGAGTGGCTCCATGAGAGGAAGACAGGCAATGTCCTGTGCAGTGGACATCCTTCAAAAACCTGCTGGAAGGCTAGCTGAGTCTGTTGTCTCAACAACAATGAATCTTGGTTTTATTTTTAAAATGGGCGTAACAGAGTATGAGAGACTGAGAGATGTGGTATTTATAGAGAAGAGTATCAAAGTTGAGAATGCTTTTGTAAAGAAAAAAAATTTCAGAAATCTGTGTATGACCCATCATCATTTTTCAAAGAGTTGAAAGAAGTAATTACCAACTACCCTAATGGAAAAAGATCATGGATAAGGTAGAGTGAAGAAGAAAACAAAGTAGTAGAACTCACAATTCTTTGTATCAAAATCTTCTACATAGCTAAAAGTATTCTGACAGCTTAGTACTGTGCAAAGACAGGTAACATAGACATTAACAGAGAATTGAGAACCAAAAAATAAATCCATCAATCTATGGATTTGATCTCTGACAAAGAGATAAAATCCATTAAATGGAGGAAGTCTCTTTAACAAATGGTGCTAGGTAAACTGGGTTATCTGTTTGCAGAAAACGGGAATAACACATATACCTCATGCCACAGAAAAACTAACTCAACATGGATCAAGGACATAGGTATAAAACCTAAAACCACGAAGATCAAAAAAAGAAGGACAAACTTAGGAGCCCTAATCTATGGCATAAATTATCAATTACAAATGAAAATACACAATCAATAGAGGATGAGCTAGATGACTGGAACCTCCTAAAAATGAAATCCTTACGTACATCAAAAGACTTCTTCCAAAGAGTAAAAAACAGAACCTAGAGAATGGGGGTGGGGAAATAAATATGGCAATGACACACCTGACAAGGTACTCATCTCTAAAATTTACAGATAACTGTTAACATTTGAATAAGAATAAGGCAAACAGCTCCAAATGGGCAGAGAAATGAACAAACACTTCGCCAAAGCTGATATTCAGATGGTCAACAAATAAAGAGATGTTCAAGATTATGAGCTATTAGAGGGATGAAAATCAAAACAACAAAAATAATGAGAAAGCATCTCATGTCAACAAAAATACATTGCTGGTGGGAATATAATAAGGAAGGCAGTTCAGTGCTTCTTAAGAAAGTTGAGACTAGAAATTCCATTGAATCTAGACAGCCCACCTCTAGGTATGTACCCCAAAGAAATAAGATCTGCAACACAAACTGACATACTCACACTCATGTTTACTGCAGCATTACTTAAAATACCAAACAGGTGAAAATAACCCAAACGTGCTTCAACAGACAAATGTCTAAAGAAACTATGGTACATTCACACAATGGAGCACTATGTATCATTAAAAAAGAAAAATACTGCACAACCATTAATGAATCCAGAACAAACTATGCTGAGTGACATAAGTTAGTCACAAAAGGAAAATTACAGCGTTAAGACCAACATTATGAAATGTTAAGAAAAGGTATACACAAAGAATTAATCTTGAAAAGTTAGTTAAGTTGAGTGAAGGGAAGGCAATACACAATAAAGGTTTATAATTAATTAGTTATAATTAGTATTATTTTTAAAAAAATCCATGAATGCCTGAATTAACATCTAATGAGTAGTAAAGTTTCACTCAAATAATTAAAAGAGAATGAATAAATAACTGAATGTGGGAAATATGGACATGAGTTTTCTTTTTGCATATTTTAAGACTTAAATATATTGTACCAAACATAGTTGGCCTTTATATTGGGTTTTCAAGATAACTGATGTTCTTACTGGAGTTAGTTGCCACTGAATCAGCTCTGACTCAAGACCCTATACACAAAAGAATGAAACCCCACACTACCATGCACCATCCTCACAATCTGCTGCATGTTAACTGTTGTAGCGACTGTCCTAAAGAGATTTCCTGTTTTGCTGATACTCTACTTTTCCAAGATTGATGTTCCTTTCCAGGAACTGGACTCTCCTGATAACATATCCAAAGTAAGTAAGACCAAGTCTCACCTCTTTACGGCTTTTCTTTTTTCCACTGTGTTCTACACACAAACCTCATTTACATTGTGTTTCACACAATCATTCATATACATGCATCCCACATAGTTATCATTGATCTATGTCTATTATTACACCGTCTTTTCATGTTCTGATTGAATCTTTCACATTCACTCCCCCTCATCCACTCACTAAACTCTGCTATTCTAGTGATTTATACCTTTCTCCTGTTTCTGTCCCCTTCTGTTTTTGCTCCTTCTCCTTCTGGACATGTATACACATCTTACTAGCTATTTTGCATTTTTATAATAATGGTCTTATTTGTCCTTATAATAATGGCAGTATTTGTCTTTATGAGATGGAGTTAATTTACTCAGCATAATTCTCTCTAGACTCTTCCATGTATTTTACAAAATCATTATTCTTTAGTGCTGCATAGTATTCCATTGTGTGAATATCTGATTTCTCAATTGATTTGTTGACGGGTATTTGGGCTGTGTCCATATTCTTGCTATCAGGACGAATGCCACTACGAACACAGGTGTACACATCCTTACTTCTAAGAAGCATTCAAGTGGCACTTCTTCCATGGTAGTTTGTTCTTTTGGCTTATATCATTCCTAATACATTGAACCAACTCACAACTGACCCTCCACTGGGTTTCTGAGGCTCTAAGTTTCCTGGGAGTAGATCACTCAGCTTTCTATTGTGGAGCCACTAGTGGAGTTTTTATTCTTTTGGCAGTCCATGGTATATGAGATGTTCTTTACCAAACACCACAATTCAAATACACTGACTCTACTTCTGCACTATTTATTAATTTCCAACTTCCACATACATACGAAGCAACTGGAAACACTATGGTTTGGTGCACCTTAAACTTTAAAGTGATAAAAGGTTGTCTGCTTATCTTTCTCAGAGCAGCTGCTGCATGGAAACTGCTGACCTGATTAGCAGAGTCCACTATGGAATCATTAAATTGCTAGGGATCCTTTTTCACACATAATGAAAAAAAAATCTTTAACATGAATTACGGTACCTTCTACTGGTCATACTGAGGGCAAGGGAAAAGGAAAAAAGTTCACTTTGTATTCTATCCACAAAAGCCTTTTTGCCTGAACCAGCTGTGCCTTTTCACATTGATCAGTATAGTTTGTGCTACTTCTATGGATGAAATCTTTATAGTTTAGCTAAATTACTTCCTCAGATAAATCAAGTAAGTTTCCTGTAAGATTCATAAAGTGCTCATCTCTGTATTTAGCCCAACATATGAAACACAATAATCTAGTAATATTTATTGAGCAAATATCTACTATGTAACAATGGTTAAGGGCTTGACTGCTAACAAAAATGCTGACAGTCTGAAACTACCAGCTGCTCCTGAGGATAAAGACTTCAGTCAGTTTTAAAGAATTACAGCCTAGGAAGCCTATATATATATGATGGTTGTAAGTTGCAACTGATGTAACACATCAACTAAGGCTCAGTTAAAGTATAAATCACAGCTGTCCATGGGATTTGACTGTATGATGCATGTCCTTTGGTATGCATGCATATTATAGTCTGAAAAATATATATAATGTAAGAGTTTAATATTGCTGTGATATTAACAATTTTTGGGACAGAAGCTAATGTGAACTAAAGTTATTTCTCTAAAACAAAAGTTTAAAGTGACTTTTAGTAAAATGAATGTTGAGTGAATTATGGCCACGATGTCATATACTGTTCTTTTCTGACTACACTAAAAGCAAAGAGCATTCTTTGAGTTGAAAACTAAGACTAGGTTGCTCTGTAACCTTCACTCAAGTATTCTACGACTTCAATACATAAGTCATCAATCATAAATTGGCTGGTTATACTGAGGGAAAGGGAAAGAAAAAAAAGTCCGCTGTATTCTGACTTTTGTTGTATATATCTAACTATAAAATTTATATAGGTAGATTTAATATTCCTAAGTAATTTGAAAGTACAATTTTATATTATCTAAACCATGGTAATTTAAAAAATGGCTAATAAATAAGGGAGACTGAAAAAATTGAGGATTATGAAATATGGTGTTATAAATGTATAATATGTGCCACAGAACCAACTACAGCTCAGACCTGTAAATGAAAAACATCTAGTCCTTGTCCTTTCTTGCACCATCACCATGATGTCTTTCATACTCAGGCTCACTGTGGTAAGTCACTGTGTCAATCCACCCATAATGCTGAGGGTCTTCCCTTGATCTCTGACCCTCCACTTTTCCCTGCATAACACTTCCCTCCATTGATTGTGGATCCAAGTAAAATTAAATTGGCAACAACTTAAATCTTTTCTCCAAATAGCATGTTGTTTTTTGGTCTAGTGGTGAAGATTTTTGTTTTCTTGATGCTGAGGTGTAGTCTTTAATATTCTCCATTAAGTACTTCAAGTTGCCTTCACCTTCTGCAAAGTTGTGTTATCTGTGTAACAGAAGCTGGTGATGAGTCTTCCTCAAATCCTGGTGCCACATTCTTCCTCATATACACCAGATTCTCAAATAATTCCTCTGCATAAAGACTGAATAGGTATGATGAAAGGATACACACCTGATGCACAACTTTCTTGATTTAAAAAGTGTTCCCTTGTTCTATTTGGACAACTGATTCTTAGTCTATGTAGGCTCAGCATAAGCACAGTTAATTATTCTGGAATTCCCATTCTTCTCAATGTTAGTCATAATTTGCTGTGATTCACATTGTCAAACTGCATAATTAGTAAAACACAAGAAAATATCTTTCCGGTATTCTCTACTTCAGCAAAGAGCCACCTAACATCAGCAATGATAGATAGCGCTTGTGCCACAGCGTCTGCTGAATCAAGCCTGACATTCTTGCAGTTCAGTGTCAATGTGCTGTTTTAACATTTTTAAATAGTCCAGCAAGATTTTATTTGCATTTGACATTAATTATTAATTATACTGTTTGATAATTTCTAGTGTCTTGGAAATTTCTGAAATTTACTTTCATAAAATACAAAATAAATTTCATGTGAGTTGACAAATATAAAAAAGCACAATGTAGTACAGTAAAGAAGAATAAGTAAACAAACTACTTTTTTTTTACCACAGATGAGCATTCTTTCTTATGCTTAGAAGGTACTGATGAAAATATGTTCCAGATATAGGAAGAGAGTTACAAAATAAACCTCACTTATAAAAATGGCAATTTTCATGTGTACGTATTTTGTATAAACGTATAAATGGATAACTACTGTAATGTTTATAGGGAGCTCGTGTGGCTTAGTGGCAAGAAACTGCACTGCCCCACACAGATAGGCAGTTAGAATCTACCAGATGCTCCTCAGGAGAAAGATGGGGAATCTCCTCACGAGTGATTTACTGTTTCTGAAAATCTACTTAAGAGTCAACTATGGGTGTTTCCAACTTGGCAGTTCACTACTACCACCACCACATTGTATTGTTAGCAGTCTTACCTATGGGACAAATGGGACTTGGTAAAAAAAGGTAGGTAAATGAAGAGAGACTTATGTTTTAATTACTATACAGGTAGTTTCCTTGAACTTGTTATTATGCAGTTAGTTTCCTTGAACGAGTCAGTTAAAAGTATGTATTGTTTGAAATGTGAAACATTCCTATAAATTCTTTAGGAAAGAGTGGTTATTGTCAGATGCCACTGGGTCAAACACAACTCATTTTGAATGAACAACAGATCTGAACCTTGCCTTATTCTGCTTTGTGCTCTCTACCATGCTGGAGCTCATCACTGCCAATCCATCCCTTTGAGGGCATTTCCTCTCTTTTGGAGCCCCTCTGTCTTTCCCAGTATGTTATATTTTCCCAACATCTAGTCCCTCCTGACAACATGCCCAAAGTATATGGGGTGAAGTTTCATCCACTCTCCCCTCTCCAAACACTTGGAAGTTAAAAATTCTTATGTATAGTTTATAATGGAAAATCATAAGTAAAGAGTTAACTGTTCTTTGATGTATGGGAAGAAACCATGAAGGTCATTAAATGTTCAACAACACACATGAGGGTTAATAATCTAGTTATAATGAGCAATTAAAAAAATAGCTAAGCAATATGAGAAAATGCCAATCAATTCCAATATGCAAATAATTAAAAATAAGACAGGAAAGAACACTAAGAAAGTACATTTCATCTGTATTAAATTGTCAAAAGTTATAATAACTAGGGACGTGTTTAAAAGGGATATGATTAGGTACTATTGTCGTGACAGGAGTCCAGAATGAAGGCAGCATAGTGGAATGGACTTGGGGGGAGGGACAATCAAAGAATTTTTCTTTTACTTTTCTTTTATTATTTTAAATTTTATTATTTTGTGCATGTACCGTCAAATCAGATCTGACTGGTACAGGAGGAGATTGTTCCTCCTTCTCCAGCAAAGCATCTGGTGGATTCGAACCACACACCTCTGGGATTGCAGTGCATTCTTTTATTTTTCAAAGAGAAGAGCGAACTGGGGGGGGGGGAGTTTGGGCAGGGAGAAAAATGCAACAATGAATGAATGGAAATTCAAAGTCTCTGTAAACATTCATTAAAATTAATTTAAAAAATAAGCTTAGCTATTGACTTATCCTACTCAAAGAAAATTTTTTTTGTTGCAGTTTCAATTTATGTTTCTCTGGATGAGGTTGCAATGGTAGTGAGATTGAGCATTTGCATCAGATAATCCATTTACATAATACCAATATACCTTAAGTATATGTCTCTCTAGTGAGACACACATAAAAAGGATTAAATTATCTTTTTTTTTAGGAGGGTAATATTTGACTGTAGAAAAATCACAAAGTATAAATATTAAAATTATGAAGAAATGAAATGTATCATGTATTTACAAGATGGGAAGAAATTTAATTAAACTTTATATACATACTGATAGGATAAAAATTGAATGCACAAAGAGTATGATAATAAAAAGAATTCCAATCATAGTAATAATTTCAACTCTGTATAGTATAAGAACATAATATCTTACCTATTAAGTGAGCGGTTTACTAGATGGGATATTTTGTTCTTAATTTTTTCGTAATCTGGGATTGCCATAAATAAGCATTTTTTTTAAAGAACGGGGGAAAAGAATCTACAGTAAAAAATGAAAAGCTGTACACAGTAATTACCTTTTAGTGTTCTCTTGTTCTTCCTCTGATAATGGCTTCGGTTTTTTCCTGGACTGTTCTTCTAACAGCCAACTTTTCCTCTTTAAACCCTTCTTATGCTCTGGGTTCAGGTTAACGCCCTGAACAACAGCCTCAATGACATCTGTCACAGTATCAGGACGTAAGTGCATTGCCTCCCGTTCCTCTTCATTCAATTCGGGACTGACAAATTGGGCAGCTTGGAATGCCTGCATGGATACTACAGCTTGAAGGGGACATTTCCGAGGTCGACCTGGTCTGCGTTTCACAAAGTTATTCCCTGTTCTGGCCTGCCTCTGCAGTTTTTTGGCTTTTAAAATTTTATTGACATGGTCCAGGTTTTTCTTAGTGGCCAAGATTTTGTCGTAATTGCACATTTTCCGAGCTTGGCGCTGCATAGCTTCCACAACACTTCTCTTGATATGAAGAGGGGAACAGCTGCTTGGCAACTTTTCAGAAATGAGAGAGATGTTATTATTACTGCAAGAGTCACTGGGGACTGCAGGCACTAGAAGGCTATCTGATTTACCCAGGATGCGCTCCTTGCTATGAGTATGGCCCGGGCTGGAGGAAGGTGGTACAGAAGCAGTGGCAATCACAGAATCACTATTTTTCTCTGTGGACTCTTGATCCTCATGCTGTACCATCCGCTGAAGCAGAGTATCCACAGTGTCATCCACAGAAGTTCCCAATCTTGGACTTCGAGAGGGAAGACCATTCACTAAAAAATGAAACAAATTGTTGTGACAAAAATTAGAGCTACAGAGAAGTAATTTTAAAATATAATACAGAAAAAAACCCATTTCCTTATTTTCTATAACAAGACTGAATATCAGAATATTAACTACCTATAGTACTTCTATAGATAAATAAATTTTGCTGAATAAGGTAACACTACAGTTAAAATGATAAAAACTGGCTATGTTTCCTTAAAAAATATGTCAACTGAAAAAAAATATGTCAACTGAACAAAAAATAAACTCTAGATTTCACTTTGTGAGATGTAGAATGAATTTATTTATTAAAAAACTAAGGTCCAGTTTCATTAAAGGATTTGATAATTAAATGTTAGAAAGAGAATGGTATTTACGTCTAATACTTTTAAACTTAGTTTTTCTATTATGATACGAGTAAAAGTTTATAAAATTACATAATACATTGTCTCTTAACCCACTAAATATTATAATATTGCTGTTGTTGTATACCATCGTGTAAGAACTGACTCACAGCTGACCTTTCAATGGTTGTCAGAGGGAGGAAATCACACATAAGGAGACTGTCGTATTTCTCCAACAGAGCAGCTGGTGAAATCCAACATTATGCCTTTGGGATAACAGCTCTTTATGACTAGACCACCAAACCTCCTCAATTATAATAGTAAGTATTTATTAGTATGTGACACTTAGTATTATTACTATTATTATTGTTCACTTCCCTTTTTCTCCCTTCCCGTATTTGGCAACTATCTGACAAGTTCGTTTCAAAGATGAAAATTCCTGTTTTGTGAAAAGGGTTTAAAATTAGTAAGACAAGCAAGCATCTGTATAAATTAGTTTCGAAAGAATGTATGCTGAAGAAAGACTAAAAATAATACAATCTCAAGTAACTGTTAGAGACTCAATAAACTGGTGATTTTTCATTTATAAGAAGGATATCACATTCATTAGGTTTCTCATAAAGAAAGATGGGTAATCAACTCCTGTGTGATTTAATGCTTCAGAAAACCTGCTGGAGGGTCAGATATGAGTAGGCTCTGATTTGATGTTACATAACAACAACATCATTAAGAATAATCATGACTTATCCTTTCCCAGCACTAATCACATTTCTAATATTGGTTTAATGTTGCAATTCTCAATCAATGAAAACAGGAAGATAAGACTTTACTCATGAAAGTCACTTTGTATGTCTAATGACAAGGCTTTATGTACTTAAAAATTAGTTGTAGAATGAATCCTGACCTGAAAAATGTGACATTTCTTCTTTTATTGTCTGTTGAGATTCTGCATGTGTTTAAGCTTTTAAATAAATGTAAAGAAAATATTAAAACACATGTACTGTTTAAAGTCTCTTTCCTGATCACTTAGAATTGCTGTCAAATTAATCCTAACTTATAGTGATCACATGTGTGAAGAATGGAGCAACTACATAAACTTTACGCCTTTATGATTTAAGAACAACATTTAAGTTGTATTTTATTGTATTTCTGGTGAAAGTTTTTAGGTTCTCATTTAATAATTTCTACACAATTAATTCAGTAAGTTACATTCTGCACAATTATTTCTATTCTGGATGTTCTGTCTTCATTCAGCTCATTTCCTCGAGCCCTTACCTTTTCATCTCTGCTTCCCAACAAATGCTCACTATTTGGTCTCCTATAGATACTTTAAAAGAGTACAGTAGTCACAGGTGATGTTGTTTATGAGTCCATCTGTTACATAGATAAAAGGTAATCTTATAGAATGCTTTCTATTCAAGTCAAGGATTAAAATGTTTTCATAAAAAACATTTTCTACCATGGTGAAAAGAAAACCTACTGACTAGGAAAAAACATCTGGCAATACCATTTTGGATACAGGTCTCTCGCATATCAAAAGTTTACAGAATCCTACAGGACCTCCACCAGAAAAAGACTGATCATACAACTACAAAATGGGTAAAAGAACATGGAAAGAATTTTCAGAGAGGAAGATACTAGGATGGTCAACAGACAAATGAAGAAATGCTCAAAATCACCGGCAATAAGAGAGATGCAAACTAAAACCGCAATGAGATCCCATCTTATTCCAGTAGCAGTGGCAAAGTTTAACAGGACAGCAAGTAATAAATGTTAGAGAGGATGTGAAGAGATAGGAACTTTTATACATTGTTGTTTTGGAATGTAAAATAGTAACAACCAGTCTCAAAGGCAGTTTGGCCTTTCCTCAACAAGCTGAACACAGACATTCCATAGGATCTAGCTTTCCACTGTTTGGAATATACTCCAAAAGAATGAGAACTGAGGCACAAACAAAGCCTTGTATACCAATGTTCATAGCAGTGTCATGAATACCATTCCAAGAACATGGAGACAGCTCAAATGTCCAACTACGATAGAATGGATTAATAAATTATGGTACATTCATATGATGGAATACTGTATAGCATTCAAGAACAATGATTTTGTAAATTACTACCTAACTTGGCAGGAACAACAGAGTATTATGCTAAGTGAACTCAGTCCCATAATGACAAATACTGTATAAGACCATTATTGTAGAAAGAGAATGAGGGTCCAAATGGGGGGAGGGTGGGAGCAGAGGGCTGAGGACAGGTGAAGGGGCAGAGGTAATCATAGGGTTGCCCAACTTAAAGGAGGGAGATGCTGAAGGAAATGGAAAAGATTTGGTGTGAAAACCAATATATATAAATTTTATAAATAAACCAGTATAAAACAAAAATTAAAATAAATAAAAACAAAAGCAGAACACAGCGTAAGAAAGAGTATTTTAGGGCAATAGTCTCAGAAAATTCTCTAAGGCAATGGTTTGTGTAGACTATTAATCTTGTAGACTAGTTTCTTCTGGGTGTTTAAGTTTTTGACTTTTCTTTTACTCGTGACAGTTGTATCTTAGATGGCTGCTCACAAATGTTTAAGACCTCAGATGCTACTAAACTGGGATGCAGAACCTCAATTTTACTTACTACATTACACCAAACAGGGAATGCCGATGGCCTAGTAAGTAGTAAGGACTTGTACTACCAAAAGACATGAGGTTTGAATTCACCAGCTGCTCCAAGGGAGAAAGATAAGCATTCTCCTCCTGTGCAATTTACATTCCCTAAAAACCTGCTAGAGAGTCAGCTATGGGTCAGTCCTGACTCAAAGGCAAATAACATTGTATCAAATGAGTTATTCCTATAAAACCATTGCCTCAAGACTCCACAGCCCAATTCCATGAAGTGTTCGATTAATCTAAGAGGTAACCAGTTGTTTATTTTTTTGTCATTTATGTTTTATTATACTTAGCACTAAATAGATACATATACTTATTTGAAACACTTAAAGAAGCAGCTTAAAGACTGTATTTCAGTACAGAGAATATATCTCAGCATAAAGAAAAACAATTATCTTCACAACAGGACAACATCCTGGTAAGCAGAGAAGACGACTACTGTTAAGGATTTAAGTTTACGAGCATCCACCATCAATGCTGGTGGAGGTAGCAGTCAAGAAATCAAAAGATACTGGGCATAACTGCTGCAAAGAATCTTTTTAAAGTGCTAATGCACATGGTCAGAGTTACTGGTCTGATAGAAACTGGAGAAAACCCTGAGACTATGGTCTTTTGTCACTCTTCAAACTTGGAACAAAAGTCACAGCTCCACAGGATGGGCAATGTCCTCCCATGCAATTTACAACCTCTGGAAACCCGGTCAACTTTGGGTTGGTTCTGACTCTATGGCACACAGCAACAACATGGTGCTATTTTCAGCCAAACAATAGTCAGGCCTATAAGGTGACAACACAAGGGAGGCAGGCACTCTAGACTAATGAATTGTTTAAGTTCAAAAGCACAGCATGTAAGCCCCAGAAGGCAAGAAGGGTAGCTAGAAGAAAAAGAGAACTACAAAAGGAAGTAGGTACAGTGTGGTTACATTGCAGGAACGGAAATTAATGTTATAAAACATATGTGTGTGTGTGTGTGTGTGTGTGTGTGTGTGTGTGTGTGTATGAATGGAAAACCAATTTGTTGTGTACATACTCCATCTCAAATTACAATAATAAATAAAGTGCTAAAGAGCAAGAATGCCTCTTAGTTGATTTTGCTTCACAGAGACCCTCCCTCTGTGGTGACAAAAGTTTTCTCTTACAAACAGCTCTTCTATCCCTTAATATCTTCAGATTTTACTCTATCAAAGCTCAGTTAATTGATTATTATAGTCACTGTGTTTAATTAGGGAACACTCCCTCTACCAGATATTGTAAAACTGAGATAATGGAAGCCAATTCTGAGGCCAGTGGTGACTGGACATGCTAAATGGGAAACACTAGACTTGCCTAAGCCCATTCAGGTTAATTTGAAGTTGTACGAACAGAAGGAAACTACTGCTTTGATTAAAGACTTGCTAAAGCGTAAAACAAGGGATGGCCCAAACTGTGACCCATAGTTCCCTTGGCAGCATAGTCTAAGCCCTGGCACGCCAATAAAGGAAGACTGCTTTCGGGGCTCCCCATCTCCTCTTATTTGGGACAGCCTCCTGCCGCAACCCTGCCTGATATCGGCAACTGCATGAACCTCATGAGGACTTTTCATTGAACTGCCAAGCCCCAAAAAACATGGAAGGAAGGTTTTGGGATGGGACGGAGAGGAGGAAGAACTGTTAATGTTGAAAATGATGGAGTGGTTTAACAGAATGAACATTTGGCTTTTTTAAATGATGCTCAGAATTCTAAATAAAACATTCTCCATTAGTTCTCTGAGGCTTTAAATCTTAACGAGAGAGTACAATTGGTGGACTAGAACTGCTGGCCTTTAGGGTAGAAGTACAGCTGTATACAGTGTTAACACCAGAGCCATAATATTTTCAATTGCCTTATGTACGTAAAAGTTGAAAAATGAGGACAGAAGACCACAGATGAGCTGATGTCTTTGGTGGTCCTGGCAAAGAATACTTAACATATTATGTACTGTCAAAAACCCAAACAAATCTACAAGACATGTAGCCAAAATGCTCCTT